CCACGAAACGTGTGAGGGGTGTGCCGAAATGGGTGTGCGGGACGCATGCGGACGGCAGCACTGGGGCCTTCGGTGGAGCTCCCTGTGGGGCCACGAAACGTGTGAGGGGTGTGCCGAAATGGGTGTGCGGGACGCATGCGGACGGCAGCACTGGGGCCTTCGGTGGAGCTCCCTGTGGGGCCACGAAACGTGTGAGGGGTGTGCCGAAATGGGTGTGCGGGACGCATGCGGACGGCAGCCATGGGGCCTTCGGTGGAGCTCCCTATGGGGCCACGAAACGTGTGAGGGGTGTGCCGAAATGGGTGTGCGGGACGCATGCGGACGGCAGCCTGGGGCCTTCGGTGGAGCTCCCTATGGGGCCACGAACGTGTGAGGGGTGTGCCGAAGTGGGTGATGACGATGACGATGACGACGATGATGACGATGACGATGATGATGATGATGATGATGATGATGATGATGATGATGATGATGATGATGATGATGATGATGATGATGATGATGATGATGATGATGATGATGATGATGATGATGATGATGATGGGAGGAGGGAGGAGGGGGAGGAGAGAGGAGGAGGAGGAGGTGGGACGCGGGGCGCTGTCTCTTCAAAACGAGGACCCAACACCACAGGATGGTTGGGAAAAACAATAAGAGGGAGACAGAGAGAAATAGAGAGAGAGGGCAGCGGCGTCGAGTGTGCCCGAGAGAGGCAGGCAGAGATACTGAGGGAGCGAGAAAGAGCGACGGGGAGAGGTGGAGACATCGAGGGAGATGGTGAGAGAGAGGATGAAACCAATGAAACGATAGAGAGAAAGAGAGAGAGAGGCGAGAGAACAACAAAAATTAGCCTGGCGAAGGACCCAACCATATGCAGTTGAGAGTACCGCAATTGTGAATCTCTTCTTCGGTGGCGCTCCCTATGGGGCCACGAGCCGTATGAGGGGTGTGCCGAAATGCGTGGCAGTGTACACAACACGAACGAAGACGATAGGTCCGAATATGAAAGCTTGAGCGCGTGCGAGTCGGATCGCGAGCGAGTCTGATTATGAATGAATCTGCGCGCGATTGATTCTATTCGCATGAATGCGTGCATGGATACGCCCAGTGTAAATGTATGTATACGACTGTGAACAGTTTGGGTCTGCGTGACTCTCGGTACTCGTGACTCTGAGCGTCGCCTCTGCAGGGGGCTTCCCTGGGAACCCCGACGGCAGCGCCCGCGCGCCGCGACGCCCATGTCGGCACGCCACACACCTGGTGTGCGGGACGCATGCGGACGGCAGCACTGGGGCCTTCGGTGGAGCTCCCTGTGGGGCCACGAAACGTGTGAGGGGTGTGCCGAAATGGGTGTGCGGGACGCATGCGGACGGCAGCCATGGGGCCTTCGGTGGAGCTCCCTGTGGGGCCACGAAACGTGTGAGGGGTGTGCCGAAATGGGTGTGCGGGACGCATGCGGACGGCAGCATGGGGCCTTCGGTGGAGCTCCCTATGGGGCCACGAAACGTGTGAGGGGTGTGCCGAAATGGGTGTGCGGGACGCATGCGGACGGCAGCCATGGGGCCTTCGGTGGAGCTCCCTATGGGGCCACGAAACGTGTGAGGGGTGTGCCGAAATGGGTGTGCGGGACGCATGCGGACGGCAGCACTGGGGCCTTCGGTGGAGCTCCCTGTGGGGCCACGAAACGTGTGAGGGGTGTGCCGAAATGGGTGTGCGGGACGCATGCGGACGGCAGCCATGGGGCCTTCGGTGGAGCTCCCTATGGGGCCACGAAACGTGTGAGGGGTGTGCCGAAATGGGTGTGCGGGACGCATGCGGACGGCAGCACTGGGGCCTTCGGTGGAGCTCCCTGTGGGGCCACGAAACGTGTGAGGGGTGTGCCGAAATGGGTGTGCGGGACGCATGCGGACGGCAGCCATGGGGCCTTCGGTGGAGCTCCCTATGGGGCCACGAAACGTGTGAGGGGTGTGCCGAAATGGGTGTGCGGGACGCATGCGGACGGCAGCACTGGGGCCTTCGGTGGAGCTCCCTGTGGGGCCACGAAACGTGTGAGGGGTGTGCCGAAATGGGTGTGCGGGACGCATGCGGACGGCAGCCATGGGGCCTTCGGTGGAGCTCCCTATGGGGCCACGAAACGTGTGAGGGGTGTGCCGAAATGGGTGTGCGGGACGCATGCGGACGGCAGCACTGGGGCCTTCGGTGGAGCTCCCTGTGGGGCCACGAAACGTGTGAGGGGTGTGCCGAAATGGGTGTGCGGGACGCATGCGGACGGCAGCCATGGGGCCTTCGGTGGAGCTCCCTATGGGGCCACGAAACGTGTGAGGGGTGTGCCGAAATGGGTGTGCGGGACGCATGCGGACGGCAGCACTGGGGCCTTCGGTGGAGCTCCCTATGGGGCCACGAAACGTGTGAGGGGTGTGCCGACATGGGTGTGCGGGACGCATGGGACGGCAGCCATGGGGCCTTCGGTGGAGCCCCCTATGGGGCTACGAAACGTGTGAGGGGTGTGCCGAGAGCAGAGGCAAGGAGGGGAGGAGGGAGGAGGGCGAGGAGAGGAGGAGGAGGAGAGGAGGTGGGACGCGGGGCGCTGTCTCTTCAAAACGAGGACCCAACACCACAGGATGGTTGGGAAAAAGAGAAAGAGAGAGCTCAACAGAAGAGAAAGAGACAACAAGAGAGAGAGAGAGAGGATGGCACGAGGTGGAGAAATGAGAGAGAGAGAGAGAGAATGAACAAATACGTACGGGATCGATGTTCAGCAAAACCCGCGAACTTACAATGAAGGGTGCCTGTTCGACCTGCAACCCTGCAACAAAGAGCTCCCGATGATCTGGGGGCCGCGCCACGCGATACCAACGAAAAGCATGTCTGAGCAAGGCGGGCGGAGTCCCCCCGTGGACGCGACAAGCTGCTGCCCCCAGATGCTGGAAGCATGCTGGAGAATCGTGACGAGCACTGAAGAGGAGCCCGCGGGCGGCGACAGTCGGGTCGGGCGAAAGGGGGGATAGCAAACGGGGGGTTTGAGAATCAGCTCACGTAGCTGATTTTCCCGGCGCCTCCCGGCGCCGGAGGCGGCTATGTATCGAGAAATGGGCCCCTCGGTGAGGCCGAAACCAGCAGCATGCAGCAAATTTCGTAACCCCCCCTTTCCCAATCACCCCCTTTCGTCCGGCCCGAGACAGGGAGGCCCCCCCACATGCACGCGAGAGACCCATCTCAACCGCCTTGGGGGCCCGCAGGGCTCGGGCAAAAGGGGACGGTGCCGACCTCGGCCGGCTTCAATCAAGAGGCCCTGGGACACACAAATAAATGCACTCAAGTGAAAAGATTCCCCATATTTTCCCAGATGTTCTGGGTTTCTGTCTTCCCCCCCACTTCCCACAGTTTCCCATATTTTCTGGGGAATCGCCGATTGATTGTGTCTGTGTGTTTCGCCCCCTCCTGATTCAAGTGGATCGTGGAAGCCGAGAGGGCACTGAGAAAATCCAGGAGCACTTCCTTCAAGCAGCTGAAGGCCTTGACCGAAACTAGGGGAACAAAAAGTGGCATAGACATAAACACTCGGAGGTCCGCGCGGATTTCTCGGATCGGCGCTGGACCCCCCTCCCTGGTGCGCGGAGCGCGCCAGGGGCGGCGCCGGAGGCGCCGCCGGGGGGGCCCCAGCGTTGGTCCGAGAGATCCGCGCAGACCTCCGAGTTGTTATGTTTATGCCACTTTTTGTTCCCCCAGTTGAAGGCCTTGACCGAAGCTGTCGGACGAGGCGCTGCCGTGGCAGGTGTGCACCTGGAGCCGGGGCCCGCAAGAGCGCGGAAAGCGTCTGCCCCCAGGGGCGAGCGCGAGCGCGCCCCCGCACCGCGCGCCGCGCTGCGTGGCTGGGCTTCCAGAAAGACTCTGGCTAGAGGTGCCGCGTGCCAGCACCTCGTCTGCTCGTGCCTCGGGGAAGGCAGCCCCTCCTTACAGGGCAGTTTCTAATACATAGGATTTTTAAACATATGCAACTTTTAATACATGGTCAATTCGTGAGTGAATTTATGCATGAACTCCTCGTTGTTCTTAATACTCACTCCCTGCATTTTTAATACATGAACCGCACGCGGAGCATGTATTAAAAGCGGCACTGTACTTGACGTGCGGAAAATTGCCCACCGCTCCTCCACCGGATGGCCGAAACATGTCCACGAGCACTGTTGGCACACTGCTGCGCCCCTTGCTCTTGCAAATGCTGCATCGCCTGGCAGGTACGCCGGGCCCAGGTCGCAAACATCAGATATTCGTTCTGAAAGGCTGCAGACTTCCGCCTTGCCAACATCAGGTGCCCCAGGATGGCACGCATCCGCTCGCTTAGCGCGGTGAGCCCGCGGTCCATCTGCTGGGCCCTCGCCACTGATCCCCTCTACACCTGCGGCGTCGTGCTCGGAGGAAGCAAAAAAGGATGGGGCCGCGCGGCCCTCCTCGGTCGCCGTGGGCGAGGCCGGAAGCTCACGGCCGAAGGGTCCTGGAGCCAACGTGGACACGGAATGAAGAGGGGGAGGGGGAGGAGGAGGCGAGGAGGAAGAGAAGGAGCATGAGGAGCATGAGGAGCAGGAGGAGCAGGAGGACCCAACCCGACGACGAAGGCGGCGGCGACGACCAGAGCCGTCCAGCGTTCCACTGGGGGCGTCGACGGGTCGCCGGGGCCCTCCGGGCCCCTAAAAAGGCCCGCGGCGGCCGCCAGCGAGGGTCGCAAACTGCCAACAGACACTGATTCCGCAGCTCCGGCCGTCGATCGATCGAGCCATCGTCGTCGTCGTCGTCGTCGTCGTCGTCGTCGTCGTCGTCGTCGTCGTCGCCGTCGTCGTCGTCGTCGTCGTCGTCGTCGTCGTCGTCGTCGTCGTCGTCGTCGTCGTCGTCGTCGTCGTCGTCGTCGTCGTCACCGTCGTCACCGTCGACGACGACGACGAGAACGACGACGACGACGACGACGACGACGACGACGACGACGAGAAGAAGAAGGACGGCGGTGCCTCAGGGCAGCAGGCTCGGCGCGGCCGCCCCTCCTATCGCGGGGCGGCACGAAGGGGAGGATGGGGAGGGAGGCGGGAGGGAGGGAGGAGGGAAGAGTGCGGAGGGAGGAGGTGGGGAGGGAGGAGAAGGAGGGACGGGGGCTGGGAGGAGGGAGGGAGGGAGGAGTGAGGGAGGAGGGAGGGAGGGAGGAGGGAGAGACGAGACGAGGGAGGGAGGAGTGCGGAGGGGTGGAGGGAGGGAGGGAGGAGTGCGGAGGGAGGAGGTGGGGAGGGAGGAGAGTAGAGGGAGGGAGAAGGGAGAGAGGGAGGGAGGAGGAGGGAGGAGGGAGGAGCGGGAGGGAGGGAGGAGGGAGAGGGGAGAGGGCCGGTGCGCCGAACTGGCTCCAACCTCCTCCCCCCTTCGAGGGGGGGAGCTGGTGCCTCTCCCACTGCCCCCCCCCTCTCCCTGGCCTGGAGGGGCCCAGGCGCGCGCGGTCAGAGTGCCCAGGAGGGCCCAGGATGACTCCGAGGTGGCCCCCTGGTGGCTCAAAAGATAGCCTCCAAGAAACCCCACGCCTGGGGCACAGGTCAGCCCAGGATAGCTTCCGACTGGCCTCTGAGATGCTCCACGACCGCCCCCAGTCGGTTTCAGGTGGCGTCTGAGCCTCGGCCTAAATCCGTCCGAAACCTACCAACAAAAACAATGTGCTGTGTCGCCTCGCCCTTTCGTTTCAGATGAGCTTCTGACACCGCAAGACGGTTTCAATATCGCCCAAGAGAGCCCAAAGAGGGGCCCAAGATGGCCCCGAGACGGCTCCAAAGCGCCCGAGAGCGCCCCAAGAGGGCCTCTGGAGGCAACGCTTCGGCATTTGACGGGGGAGACTCAGAAGACCCCCCTCTTTCTTTGACTGGTGTCCTCCAGCATGGCCCCAAGAGAACACCCAAGGCGCCAAGAGGGGGCCCAAAAGGCCCCCACAGGGCTCCGTCAGAGCCCCAACTCCAAAGCGGCACCAAAAGGGCCCCAAGATGGCCCGAGCAGCCTGGCAAGAAGCTCCCGCATCGACAGACCCGCGAACGCATTCATGGTTGGTGCCTGGGCCTGCTCGGGCCGGTCCCGATCTTCCGCGTGACGGCTACCCCCCCTCCCTCTTGGCTCCGCTGCGTGCTCCCACACGCTCCTGACTGTTGCAGCTCGCCTGGGCATCGCTGCTGAATGAACTGGTGAAGATACTCGAAACACCAAAAACTTCGAGATTGACCCAGTCGCGGAGGCGAAGGCGCCCAAAGAGACCCCCCACATCGCCCTGAACCGAAGACCGCTCAAACAACATGACACAAACAAAGACCTGCATCCTCTACTCGACCCCCATATTCCTCCTCCTCCTCCTCCTCCTCCTCCTCCTCCTCCTCCTCCTCCTCCTCCTCCTCTGGACCGGCGTGCGAGCAGCCACTGGGACTGCGCATCGTGTTCCTTGCTGCCCGCGGCCTGGCGTATCGCTGGAAAGGCCGGACGGCGTCACCCGTTCACTCTACGAGTTCTGATAATTCTCAAGATTACGAATCGTGCTCTTCACCTACGATATGTCGCAACATCCTTCCTCTTACCCTCCCGAAGGACGAAAACCCGTTTTGCTCCCGAAATTGGCCCGAACGAAATCTCGACAAGCAGGGGGCACATTCTGATCCACACGCGCGTCATACTTCGACGCTCCACCACGTTGCTCATTCTGTTGCTGTGGACGTGGGTCAACCGCTAACCCCGTGGCGGCAAGCAGGGATCGAACGAGGCCCGAAACAGACGAACGAGCGAAGGACACAGGAAGACACCACAGCGGAGGGACAAGGACCAAATGAAAAACCGAGGCCCGAAACCCAAAAGTCGGCCGACTGGGGGAGGTGAGAACCGCGCGTATATACACTAATCTATATGGGCCCTGTCCCACGGGACTTCGCAAGAACGCCACAAGACAACGTATAGTGTAGTATTTTTGATGAGCCCAGAGACCCACGCGATTTTGGTAAACCAGGCGCTTGATGCACCAGGGTGGTTCTGGGTGCGGTATTCGGAAACGGCCAAGCGCCTGAATGCCCAAAGTGCCACGGACGCCGGGCAAGAACAGGAATCCACATATCATGTTAGCAGACGGGGGTGTACCCTGGGTGAGCCACTCTAGCGGCGCGGCAGCGGTAAAAAGGCGAAGAGTGGGGTGGCGGGGATTCCCTTCTGTGCGGGTGGCGGTGCCGGGGCCCCTGCACGCAGGGCACCTGCCACTCCCAGGAACTTGATGCCCACGCTCTGCGGCGGGAGCGGCTCCTCAGCAGCACCGAGGGCGGGGGGGAGGATGGGAGCCCGGAGGTGGGATGGGGATGCTGGGGCCCCCCACCCCAGACACTGCCAGCGTCGAGGGGGGCCCGACCGCCCTCTCGCCTCGCCCCATACGCCCCGCTGCTCTCACGACGCCGTCGCCCCGCTCGCCGCTCGCGTGCGCTCGGAGGCCGAGAGGCGCGGCCTCGAGGCCCTGCCCAGCCTCCACGGGGCCCCCCCGCAGTGGAGGCGCCCCCCCCCCTCCCTTCCCGCGCCCCCGCCCCCCCGCCCGCGGCGGCAGGGCGGGGGCCCCCGAAAAAAGCGTAGGGGGGCAGGGGGGGGCCCGCCCCTGCGCGTCCGGGGAGCGCAGCAGACAGGCACTGATCTGGTGCCGCCCACTCCCTCCTCCCTGTCCCGGCTCTCGCTGTCCACTCCCCAATGGCAGCTTGCGGCAACGGCTGCCCGTCTTCGCGTGGTCGCGCCGCTCCGGCCCTTGCGGCCACTCGGGCTCAAGACACCCAACGCCTCTCTCCAGCCCCTCGCCGTGCTCAAGCGGCCCTCAGTGCCCACGACCGTGAACCCGAAGCGCGTGGTCTGCACGGTCGTCTCCGGCTCCCACGCCCCACCCTGTCGTACGCGACACCCTTCGCACAACAATGCGACTTGAGACCGGCAGCAAACATGTGCAAAGCGAGCTTGCACGACAAGCTGACGTGTGCGAAATGTGCACAGTGAGACCGTCATTCGCTTCTGCATTACAGAGACAACCGAGCTCATACGGCAAGCTGGCCAGGAGAAGGCCCGGCAGTCCGCCAAGAGCAGCGGTGGTGCTCGAACGAGGGCCAGCTCGCCACTCTCTCTGCCTAGGGGTTCGGGCACCCCGCGCCTCGGGGGCCGTCCGCGCGCGCAGCGGAATGCCTGCGCGCGCGCTCGAGCTGTAGCCGATGCGGGAGACAAAGCCCGACGTGTTGCAAGACCGGTTGTCTTGGAACGCAGGGGTACTGGCACGCTTCTGGTCAGCAGCGGGGGCGAGCACACAACGCGTGCGGGTGCCCGGCGGGCCACGCCGGGGCTACGGGCACACAGGGTGCGCAGGGGAAGATTCGGGCGGCCGCGGAGGAGGAGCGCGGCAGGAGGCCTCAGGCGTCGAGAACCTTCGCCACGGAGGAGTGCGCAGGGGGCAACGGCACACAGCCTCTGCAGCGCAAGACTCTGCTCTAGCTCCTGCCCCCTCCCACGCCTTCCCCCGTCTGCTGCAACATACATGATGTTGCATCCTCGGGGGACCTTGTCTGTCCCGTCGCGGCCCTATCCGCGTCGAATCCGTGTCGAATCCATGTCGGCCTCGCTGGATCCGTGTCGAATCCGCGTCGAATCTACGCCAAATCCGCGTCGAGTCCGCATCGAGCCCGCGTCGGGCACAAGAAAAGACACCGATTTGGGAGGCAGGCGAGGTCGAAGATGCAATGGAACAGACATACCCTCGCGCTGCGCTGGAGCAAAGCATCCAGCGCACGCTGCGGGGCCCGCAGGTGTGCAGCACCACCAGGCGGCAGCAGAACGCTGCAGCAGCACGCGCGCGACGGTCCCCCAGCGGGGGCCGCCACTGCGTGCCTGCGCCAGACGGAAGACCTCTCTCGCGTGGCCATGTGGGCAGATTGGCGGCCGCAGCTGGTCAGGGCTAGCTGCTGCCAAGCACCCTGCTACCACCCAGGGGTGGTGCGCAAGAACAACGGGCCCAACACACATTCACACAGTAGCCCGAAATATACCTATACGACCACCCTTCGGGTGATGAGGAGGTTGCGGGGGGGGAGAGGGGGGGAGCCAACATCTGACTCAATCGATCTCACTATCGATCTCACTCAACGGGACACCACGGGACACCAAGGGACACCTCGGGAGACCACATCGATCTCACTATCGATCTCACTGTCGATCTCACTATCGATCTCACTCAACGGGACACCACGGGACACCACGGGACACCTGTCGATCTCACTATATCGATCTCACTATCGATCTCATTTTTTGGGACACCACGGGACACTCCGGGGCATCACATCGATCTCAGCATCGTCTCAGTATCGATCTCACTATCGATCTCACTTTTTGGGACACCACGGGACACCACGGGACACCACGGGACACCCGGGACACTGCGGGACAACTCTCGATCTCACTATCGGTCTCACTATCGATCTCACCATCGATTTCACTCAGCGGGACACCATAGGACACCACAAGACACCACGGGACACCACATCGATCTCACTATCGATCTCACTATCGATCTCACTCAACGGGACCCCCCGGGACACCACGGGACACCTGTCGATTTCACTATCGGTCTCACTATCGATCTCACTTTTTGGGACACCACGGGACACTTCGGGGCATCACATCGATCTAAGTATCGATCTCAGTATCGGTCTCACTATCGATCTCACTTTTTGGGACACCACGGGACACCACGGGACACCACGGGACACCCGGGACACTGCGGGACAACTCTCGATCGCACTATCGGTCTCACTATCGATCTCACTATCGATCTCACTCAGCGGGACACCATAGGACACCACAAGACACCACGGGACACCACATCGATCTCACTATCGATCTCAGTATCGATCTCACTATCGATCTCACTTTGGGACACCACGGGACACCACGGGACACCTGTCGATTTCACTATCGATATCACTATCGATCTCACTTTTTGGGACACCACGGGACACCACGG